GCTTTGCATTAAGAGCAGAACACATTGCAAACCAAAGTTTTTGTATATATATATTTGGCTAATGTCCTTGGAAAAGGGATGATCTAGTTTCAAGTTTGTATTTTTAATATTAATTTTGTACTTCACTACATCTAGGAATTTATACTAAAAAATTACTCCTTTGTGAAAAGGTCATCTGTAAGGCTTCTAAATGATCAGAATTAAAGCCAAGAAAAGGTAGGTAGAGCCAGGAATGGTGGTACACAACTATAATCCCAGCATTCTGCGAGGCTGAGACAAGAAGACTGCCAGTTTAAGCCCCACCTGGGCAACATATTGAGACCCTTTCTCAAAATTAAAAGAATGAATAAGGCCCTGGGTTCAACCCCCAGAACCACCAAACAAAACAAAAGCTGGGGAGGCAGACAGTTTCCACTGAAAAAAACCCAGAAGGTAGGGCTTATGGGCCATCTGCCCACTGGCCTGTAAGCTTCTAGAAAGTGACATCTGTGTTCCCTTTCTGCTACACTGACATTCTGGGCATAATGCTAGAGCAGATACTCAACAGACCTTTTCCTTCCTCTGTTAAAGTGATCAAGTGTTGATCACATTATTTGAAGATTATTTAATCTTCAAAATGCAGATGTAGTGCACCTGTTGGCATGTATCTGTGATCTTACACTCAGGATCACAAATATGAGGGCAGCCTGAGCAGAGACCCTGTCTCCAAAACAAAGCAAGAAACTAAGATGTAGTGGAAATTGATGGTTATCTTAATGCTATATTTCAGTTAGTAATTATAGCCAGTATTTTTTACCAGCCAAAAAGTTTTGTTGCAGAGGTAATGACTTTGTGAAAATATAAACTTATTATATAGTTTTCAGTGTCCAAGGCATTCTTTAAAGCCTTTCAGATGCTATCAATAATAACATTTGTGCTATATTTCATTCCAGAGTCCTGTATGTGTTGATTGCTACCTCTGATTTAGACATGATTGACTTAAAACCTTGTAACAGTAATGCTATAGATGATGATTTGTATACTGGAGAAAATAAGTCTAGTGACATTGCCCAAAGCATTTTTCTCATTAACTTGTTGCTAGTAAACTGAGAGAAACAGTCATATAATAGGGATTTTGTTTTGACTAAACTGTTTATAATAAATTTCCTTTTTAGTAATTCTGATATTGTAGAAAATGGACAACTAGTGGTTTGTTGGCAGTCTTTTCTGTAGGTTTGGCTTATATGATAACCTTGTAAGTTTTTGTTTGTAGAATTAGCCTATACCACATGATGTTTTTGTGGTAACTCTAACTTATAAAAGGCAAAAATAATTGTCATTTAATTCCCCTTGGTAATTGGTTCTCCCATGTTGTTTATGTTTTGTGTTACTGGATATGAAACCCAGGAGTCACACATGCTAGACAGTGTGCTCTGCTACTAAGCTCCATCCCCACTGGATGTTTTTGAAGAAAAACAGAAATGGATAGATTTGATGGCACATTTCAAAGGTCATACTCTTGAATTTATGATATTACATGCATACTTGTTGTAAACCACGTCTCCAATTATTTCCTTTATCTATCAGTGAGGCCAAGGTGAAAAAGAATAGTAACTAACCAAACAATAATAATAATAATAATAATAATAATAGTATATTATAGTAGCTAGGGCTTAGACTTATCAGGACAAAGACTTGAAAGTTTACAGAGCCAGGGGTGTTGTAATGGAAACTTTTGCATCCAAGTTTTTTTTCTTTTGATGGGCCTAATAGTTAGAAATATGACTGTTTTGTGGTACATATTCTTGTATTGGCTTTAAATTAATAAAAGGTTATTGTTTGATACAAAAGAAAAATCAAAGGATTATTTCATCAATGAAGTGAGTTTTATTATTAATTCATTCTAAGCCTTTGAAACTGTGGATTTTAATCTTAAAGCCAAAAGTATTAGATTTTTGGTTTTTAAAAAATCCTTTATGGCACTTTTATCTTTAATTGGATTTCTCCTAGCTTTCAAAGGCTGAACTTCGGTCATTGACTTTCTGAGTTTTATCAAATGTCATCATGAATTATGACTTTAACATGAAGAAGTTCTATTCAGAATTTATGAGAGGAGCATAGTACTTCCGATTGTAGTGGCATGAAGAGTTTGGAAATTAATCTAGTTCGTGTCAAAAGGCTAAAAGGAATAAACCACTGAGAATGCTATTATGCATTGTTAAAATGTGTCTGTTGTTGAGTATAATAGCCTTCTAATAAAATTATTTGTGTGCGTTTATATGCATAGAATCGTATTTGCGTTGATGTTACCATTGTTAATATTAGTCTCTGTGTATTTGGATTTGGAGAGGGTTTTTAAGCTATCTGAACCATTGCTCATACATAATTACTTGTGCTTCAAGTTACTTCATTGTACTTTTTTTTTTTTCAGACAATATCTAAGCTACTTTAGATAAGTATGGTTCTTTTGGTGATTTTTTTTCTTTAAAAATGTGACACTAGGGGGCCAGGGATTTGGCTCAGTGGTTTCACCACCTGCCTCACAAGCTCACGGGTCCAAGTTCAATCCCCAGTATTAAGAAAAAATGTGGCATTAGGTTTTTGCATGCTGATCTTAACAAGTAAGTACTTTATGTGCCTGTGCCAGTATAACTTCTTTAATCATTTAACTCCATATAACTTGTTTCCCTTACCGTTAAATCATTGTGCTATTTTTATTTAACAGAGTTTACGAAGTCATTTGAGGAAGTATGCAGAGAAATATGACCAGATTTTGGCTTTTCGACCTACAGGATGGACCCATTCTAATAAGTTAACTTGCATAGCAGATGTTACTCCTCAGACCAAAGGAAATATTTCAATATATGGTATAGTTATTAAGTTTTCTTCTCACTTCTGATGTTGATAATTAATTTATAATTTTTAAAAAGTGTTGACAAACTGAGATACAAGAAAAGCAAGCACTAAAGAATTTAACAGTTCATTTCAAACCTCACTACAATTCTAAACCTCTGTCTAGCCCATTGCAAACTGATATAAAGGAGGAGATAAACATTAACTGACCCAGATCGTCTCATTATTTAGAGGAAATTGTAGAATTATTTGAAAGTGAAGATACTGGGGTTTAATACTGGAAGTCTTAAAAATATAATGAAATCTAAATGATGCCCTGAGGTTGCAAGCAGGAAGATGAATGATTAGATGAGGTGACAGAAAGAGGAACAAACTTGACTTTGAGGTGTTCATGCCCTGGACAAGGTTACCATTGCCCAGTGGCTAACAGAAACATGCTTAGTGACTTTAAACCAGTGATTCACATTAGCTTCTGAAGATCCTACTTTACTTAAAACAAGACTCTTCCAACCTCTCTCTGTGGTGCTTGATCTTTACTAAAGAAACTAAAAGGATTTCTAGGATCTTGAGACAAGAATCTGCTTGTTTGCTGTAGAAATTAAGAGTCTCCTGTTCATTATTCTTTGCATTTTACTCATTTCTTCCAGATTTCCCGAAATCCATAGCCGAGTTAAATGTTTAAAGGGAAGAATTGTTTAAAAAGAAGAAAATGCCAATTAAATTGGACTGTCTAGGAGTGCCTATTATTAGCCAAACACATAGAAAAGTAATAGGTATTTTAATATTGTAAATTTTATGTCATTTTTAAGGTTTTAAACTTTATTATCCATAAAAGACCAAGTTGTTTTTTTTTTTGTCAGAAGCAAAGCACAGAGAAGTTTTTGACAATACTCTGGACGGCTTTATGGTTTGATTTTTTTAAATAGGCAATGTCTTTTCTGTGGTTTTGCAGGAATTCCTTATAGTGAACACAGCAGCTACCTAGAAATGAAACATTTTGTCCAGTGGCTGAAGCCTCAGAAAATCATTCCTACTGTAAATGTTGGGACCTGGAAATCTCGGAGCACAATGGAGAAATATTTTAAAGAATGGAAATTTGAAGCTGGATATTGATGATACCATAGAGGACTCACACAATTAAGTATCTTGGGTGTAGCTTGTTAGTTGTTAAATCTACAGTGATAATGAAATATGTCTTTATATAAACCCCCACTTGAAGATTGCCCAGATAGTTTTTTTCATTTATGTTTGAATAACATATTCATGGCACTGAATGCCTCTCAGCATCATCAAAGATAAATGCGGACAGGCCTCCCTAGGATCCTTAATTTTTTTTGGTTCCCTCCATGGAGATGGTTACATTCTGCACCTAGCCTTAGGGAAGGAAACAAAAGCAAGTTCAAGGACCAAAAGGATTCATGGCAATGGATAACTAGATTAAAAGTATTATATATAAGTAATTATGTATCTTTAAAATTATGAGATAAAACTTTTATATATGTTATTTTTAAATAAAAATTATTTTAAAATTTGCTATAATGTCTTGATGTGTTTTGTTTTAATGGATCTTATATTTTGAGAACACTTTTAGGTTCATAGCAAAACTCAGCAGAAAGTAGAGTCCTCTATGCCCATACCCCACATTTTTACCCTCCCTCATTATCATCATTCCCCACCAGAGCAGTGTGTGTGTTACAATTAATCACTCAGTTGTATTGACTCATCATAACTTCCCACAGTGCATAGGTCCCTGTGGGTGGTGTACATTATGTGAGCTTTGACAAATGTATCCTGACACACGTCAATCATTGTAGTATACGAACTTTTGACTCTAAAAATTCTCTGTGCTGTACTTACTCATCCCTTTCTTCTTCATAACTCTTGACAATCACTCCTCGTTTTACTATCTCCATAGTTCTGTCTTTTTCAAAGTGTCAGATAGTAGAAATCATATAGTAAGTACCCCCCACCACCCAATCCTCCTACTTCTGCCTCCTGAGGACTAAGAGTACAGGCATATGCCACCGTGCCTGGCTAGTAGATTGGCTTCTTTAGTAATGCACATTTAGATTCTTCTTCTGTATCTCTTGCTGGCTTGATAGCTCATCCTCTTTAGTAATGAACACTATTCCATTGTCTTGATGTACCAGAATTTGTTTGTCTACTCCCCTACAAAGGGCATCTTATTTACCTCCAACTTTTCACAATTATGAATAAGGCTGTGGCAAACATCCATATGCAGTTTTGTGTGAAACAAAGTTTTAAACTCCTTTCAGTATTGTTCGCTCATATAGTAAGAGTATGTTTATTTTATAAGAAACTGCCAAATTGTCTTCCAGTGTGGCTGCACCATTTTGTATTCTACTGGCAATGAATGAAAGTTCCTATTGCTCGATATCCTCATTAGCAGTTGGTGGTGTCATACTAGATTTTGGTCATTGTAATAGGTATAAAGTGGCTTCTTATTTTAATTTACATTTCCTTAGTGATGTTCAGTGTGGCACATTTTTTCATGTGCTTATTTGCTACCTATATCTTTATCTGTTCAGGTCTTTTGCCTATTTTAAAATTAGGTTATTTTCTTATTTTGAGTTTTAAGAGCTATTTTAAGTTATTGTATATTTTGGATTATATCCTTTGTTATATCTTTTGCAAATATTTTCTTCTAGTCAGGGCTTCTCTCATTCTCTTAACAGTGTCTTTCACCGAGCAGAAATTTTTAAAGCTTTTAATTTTAGTGAAGTCTAACTTGCTAAGGATTTCTTCCATGGATTGTGGTTTGGATGTTGTATTTAAAAACTAATTGCTAATTCCAAGGTCATTTAGATTTTCTCCTATGATATCTTCTAGAAGTTTTGTAGTTTTTTTTTTTTTTTTTTTTTTTTGGTACTGGGGATCAAACTCAGGACCTTGCGCTTGCCAGGTGGGCATGGTGCTACTGAGCTAAATTAAATCCCTAGCCCTAGAAATTTTATAGTTTTATGTTTTACATTTAGCCCCACATTCATTTTGAATTAATATTTGTAATGAGTATGTCCAATTTTTTGTATGTGAATGTTCAGTTGTTCCAGCATTATTTATTTTAAAAATATTCTCCTTTCCATTTTGTCTGCTTATTTGTATACTTTTATCAATACTACATTTTCTTGATAACTTTAGTGTCCATTCAACTTTTCTCTTTCAATGTTATTTTAATTTTTCATGTTCTTTTGCCTATCCATATAAATTTTAGTTTGTATATGTCCTCAAAATAACTTGCTAAAATTTTGATTAGGATTGTTTTCAACCTTTAGATCAAGTTGGGAAAAACTGACATCTTGATAGTATTGAATCTTTCTGTCTATGAATATGACATGTTTCTATTTTTTTAAATTTGGTTCATCAGAGTTTTATGGTTTTGCTAATATAAAAGTTATATATATTTTCTTAAAATTATTCCTAAATATTTTCTTTTTTGGTGTTAATATGGCTCTGTTCTGAATTTCAGACTCTACTTGTTCATTGTTGTGTAGGAAAACAATGGACTTTTATATATTAACTTGTATCCTGCAACTTTGCTATGATTGCTCAGTTTTCTACACAGATGTTCATGTCGTCTATGAAGAAAGACAGTTTTATGTCTCCATTCCCAATTTGTTTGCCTTTTATTTCCTTTTCTTGTTTCATCACAATAGGTAGGATTTCCATTGCAGTGTTGAAAAGGAGCAGTAAGAGGACATCCTTATTCCAGGTATTATTAGGAAGTCTTCCAATCTCTCACTGTAAGTATGATGCTATCAATTGGGTCTTTATAGATTTTTTTTAATCCACTTGAGGAAGTTCCCCTCTTTATAGTTTACTGAGAATTTTGGTTATTGGAGTTTGTCATTTGCTTGTTCTGAGTCTATTGATTTGATGTGATAATATGATTATCCTTTTTCAGACTTCAATGTGATGAATTACATTAATTTTCGAACTACCTTTAAGTTAGATCTCAGTTGGTTTTAATGTATAATTCTTTATACATTGTTGGATTCAGTCTACTAATATTTTCTTGAGGATTTTTGCATCTATGTTTGTGAGAAATATTGTTATGTAGTTCTCTTATGTCTTTGCATGGTTTGGAAATCGGATTATACTCGTCTGAAATGATTAGAAAGTATTCCTCCTGCTTCTGTTGTTTGAAAGAGATTGTAGAGATTGGTACAATTTCTTTCTTAAATGTATGGTAGAACTCACTGGTGAACCATGGTTATTTACTCGAGACAGGTAACTATAAGTTTAAATTGCAGATTTAACTTTAAAAAAAGAGATTATGTAATTTAAGATATTTACCTTAACGCTATAAATTGATAATTGGTCTAAAGTGAGAATTGTGCATGTTTCTATGGCATCTAAATGAGAAAATAGTATATTGAATGTATACATGTATTTATACATGTATTTTTGCATTAACTCTAGCACTGAAATGAATTTGGGATTTCTTGTTAAATGTTTTCATAGAAACATTCACAGAAAATTTTCAGTAATGTTATGCACAAGAACTACTAGTATTTCTCATGAATGTTATTTTTATAAGCTTTGGTTTTACTTTGTTGTGGGGTTCAGAGTTCTGGGGATCATATTTGGAGAAAAATTTAGAAGTGTAGTGGTATTATGTAACTATTCTCAGTTAATTTCAATTACAAATTTAAAATTTTAACTTGTTTTGACTTTATGTTTTAAGCTTTTTGAAGTCATTAAGAGTTATAATTAGAAAAGCTATATAGTCTGTAATTACAGATACTTGATGGTTAAGTTATTTAGGGTTATTTTTACTTATTTAATTTTTCCAGGGATTGTATTTTTTAATTGGTGAAATTGTTTTCATGATTTTGGATGGTTTACTCTGAGAATTCAGTTGTATTGTTTTAAGAGCAACAGTGGTCTTTTTATTGCCCTATGCATAAACATCTTTCTACACAAACATCACCATTTATGGCAGCGTGGAATGATTTGGTTTGCTTATTGCTGCAAAACATTTAGGGGCCATATAAAATAGTTTTATAATAAGTAACCATCAAAACCAATTTTGGGGGGCCCTCTTGAGAGCTATGTGTGAAAGGCTTGGTTCCAATACTTAACACTTTGATGGGTTAAAAAAAATCCTTTTCATAGTGAAATGAAACAAGAAATCTATCACCAACCCAAAATAGTTGGAGGACAGCTCTTAACACCGCCCATAAGAGAAAGTATAAAAAAGAGGAAGTAGGATCAAGCCAACAACAAAGGAAATACTTTACTTTTCCTTCAAACTTCTCAAAAAGCTTCTTTACAATCTTCCCTGATATTGAACATTATATTACCGGGTGCAGTGAAACTTGAAAGAATGATTTCAACGTATTATAACACTGATCTAATAGATGAACCCTTTTCCCTTAATAAATCTAAAGTATCACTTACTATATATTTTAAAATGTGCCTAAATATGAAACTTTTTCAGGACCTCTAAATTAATTCTGTGTTCAACTCTTAAATTATATTCCTGTGGATCAGGTGGATCCCAAGTTTATCTGGTCCTGAATCAGCATCAATAACTAGATAAACTAAGCATCGTCTTCAGGTTCTAAGCTCCAAAGTGATCTCATTTGAGAGAATTGATATGCACTTACAGGTTATCTGGTTGCTTAACTGGTGTTCTTTTTAGTTCATTTTTTATAGATCTTAGAAAGATGCCAATAAATTAAGTCAGCAAAGGAATGTTAATATTTATGAATAAATAGAACAGTATAGGTATAAATACTAGGAAGCTTTTTTTTTTTTTTGGCACTGGGGGTTGAATTCGGGACCTTGCACTTGTGAGGCAGGTTGTGGCACCACTGAGCTAAATCCCCAGTGGGCAGTCATTTTAATTGGCTGCTTTCTTTCCCCTTCACACCTACCCCATTCTCCCAGAAGATGTAGAGTTAAACATCCCCTTCGTGATCTCACAATTCAGCTTCAGATAAACCAGACATAATTTGTAAGGCATCTGTTACAGTGTCCCCAGTGTACAAAACCATGTAGAACACAAAATTAATATTTTCATAAGTATTCATAACTGGGCCAGAACTTATGTGAGGTAGAGCAGATCCAATGGGTGTTAGAATTAAAGGGCCACTCCTTTTTAAAACTGATCCTGCACTTGCAGGACATTGAACATCAGTACCTCTTTAAAGTGGGTTGGTTCCACTTTTTGGCTCTTATGAATAATACTGTTAGGAAAATTTATGTAATAAATTTTTATGTGGACGTATTTTCATTTCTCTTGACTATATAAATAAAAGTAGAATTACTGGGTCAAACAGTAACTGCATTTAGTTTTTAAAGAGCTACCAAAACATTTCCCATTTTGGAAAACATTTTACAGCACAATTTTTCATCCCCACAAACAATATATGAGCATTCCAGTTTCTCTATATCCTCTCCAAGACCTGTCTTTAAAAAATCATTATAGTCATTTTCGTAGGTGTGAAGTGGTGTCTCATTGTAGTTTTTAATTTGTCTTTCTCTAATGATTAAAATTGAGCATCTTTTTCACCATTTTTGAAGAGAACATATAGGAAGCTCGGTTAAGCAGACGTTCTAAAATGTCTTATTTGAACTTAAGAAAAATAGTATTATACTTTTTAGTTTTAATTTAGTTCCATATAAATGATACTTTAATGATTTGGACCAGGTTTTGTGATGATGTTTAAGAAAGACCTGCAGTTTTGTTCCAATGAGAATTATCTGAATTAATACAGGATAAATTAAAATGCATAGCAGCATTCCAGGTGTCATGAAGTAATTGTTTGCAGCTAAAGACCTTCACTGTGTCCAATTGCAGAAGGGAAGCAAAACAAACTTCTTAAGGTGGAATAGAACACTTGAGAAAAGAGGGTTTTAAATATCAGGGTAGATAACATTTACTGACCTTGAATAAACAAAGTAATTTATAAAAATGGCCCACAATATTATTGTGAATATATAAAATGTAAATATTTATTCAAGTTTTAGACTTTAAAATTACAGCGTTCTATGAAAGATCTTATCTAAAAGCCGAGTAATGAAATGGATCACTTATATGGGTCCCTTTTAGCCCTAAATCCCATAATTACATAATTACTGTTTAAGATCAGGTTTTTTAAAAGCATGGTATTTTAAACAACCCAGCTACTCACATGTCATGAGCCAAGAAATTTATCTTTTTGTTTCAAAAAACAATGTTGAGACTGTGTTTATATAAGAATTGTGTACTTATTCCAGGTTGTGTCCTCATAATTTATTCACATGTATTAAAATTTTAACAAGTTTCTGACAGAGAACAGGTTGAGATAAGTCAAAAGTCATTAGAAGTTCAGCACAGTATTTTGGTCACCATTTGGAATCCTGGGCGAGAGGAAACAGATGGGTTTGGTTGCATTATCCTTTCTGTGACATATAAACAGTTGGGAGAAATATTAAATACGCTTTAGCTTCACGTCTGCTTTAGGAATGCTTTTAGTAGTAAGAGTATTCGCATTCTCAGATGTTCAATATTTAATGATAGAAATTTGAAGAAAAGTTGAATATAGAGTGTAAAAATTAATTTATTGGAATCTTCATTGGGTAACTTAGTATTGCATTCAGGGAAAAGTTATTGAATGCTAGTTATATTACAGCACTGTGCTGGACAGAGGACAATGCTTGAACTCCTGGGAAATCTACACAGATGAGGCAGCGTTTGAGGTAAAATTTAATTAAATAGGAGTTTAATTAGGGTGTTCATAGGGGAACTAAAACTAAGAATGGCAGTTAGATCCAAAAAAGTCTCAAAAATGGTTGTGAATAAAACCTTTCTATTAAGGGAGCAGGGAGACAGCACCCATACATCCAAGAAATATTTCAGTGTTCACTAGCAACATTTAAGCAGTAAGGTGAGTAACTGAAGAACAACCAAAAAGATAGGGATGTCTGCTTTTAAAGGACTAACGGAATACACAAAGATATGACTAGGAAATAATAACGTATTATAGGGTCAGATTGGCCTGGGCAAAGATCATATTAAAGCCAGCGGCTGAACAATGAGGAAGAACATTGCCCTGTTAAAGCTGGGATACCGTATCGTCCTCTTGCTAGTCACATTTTTTTTAAAAGCAATAATTTGAGAAAGACATTGAGAGCCATTTTAATCTTTCCTGTAGCCTCAAAAATGTCAAAAGGGAAGTTGTCTCATTTTCAGTGTATATTACAAGGTTAAAAATCACTGTAAAAGGAGAAAATGCTTTAGCAAAAGATGTTAACAGTTTTAATTAAACTGGTGGAAAATCATGCTAATTTTTCTCCTCTCAAGATTCACTATCATGGTAGTAAAGATGTTAAAAAAAATAGGTTTGCAAGGGTCAGACAATAAAAAGGGTAACATTAATGCTTTGATGATTTAACTAAAGTTTAGGAGACAGAAAAAAGGAAACAGGTCTGAATAGATGATTTGGTGGATAACATGATGGAGAATCTGGAATGAATTAAAGTGTATTTGCATGTATAATTATATATGTGAAAAAGAGAATATTATTAATGTGAGGCACACTAAAAGCTATACAAAAAAAAAGTATATATAACCATAACACATATCTTGGTTTTGCAGTGAAGAATATTTACATATTCATGATCATGCAAATAGTAATAATGAATCTGAGGTAATGTTCGAATGCTATTAAGGAATAGGGAAAAAGATCAATATAACAGAGAATGTTTAACTCAGTTCCTTGTTAAAAATTCTCCAATTACAATTAGAATAAAAGTGAAATGCCTCACTTTGGTTTTAAATTTCCTACCTCATGGACTCCTTATCTGTCTCCCTGATCTCCCATCCTTCCCTTCTTTAACCTCCCTTCGGTGCCACTGACTTTCTTTCTCTTCTGTAAACAAGTCAAGTTCTTTACCTCCTCAAGGCCTTTCTTGTTGAAATTTCTTTTACGTTAAATGTTTTTTAGGTGGAAAACAAATCAGTCTCCAATACCCATTCTCCTTTTCTTTCACGGGAAGAGAATTTTAGCTCACCATATGGCTGCCAACAATAGAAACTACATTTCAAGTCTCTCTCGGATCTCTGTTTGTCTCTGTGGCTAAGGTCTGGTCCAAAGGATGTGAGCAAAAGAGGTGGGAAATTGCTGAGTCACACTCTAGAGAAAGTGTGTGCCCTGCTCCTCTTCCACCCTGCTGTTTGGAACATAGATGTGATTGCGCCATCTGGGCCTGTTCACATGAGGGGCTGGAGCGGCAAGAAAAGAGAAGGAGCCTGGACCTTGTGGGGCCTGCACGCAGGGTACTATAAAAGGCAATCATAATCATAATCATAATCATCTTCATTTGCTTAAGGTATTGTTACAGTGTCTCTGTTACCTGTGTCCAAACCATGCCCTTTAGCTCTTCCCCAAGATGTCCATATCCAGGCCTTTGTTATCATTCAGGGCTCAGCACTCAGCTCAGATGCTGCCTCAGAAAAGCATGTCTTGACCACTCTACTAAAAGTCAGTCTTTCACATTTTTATCAGTGCCTATATTTCTGTGTAGCCTAAGTGGCCATGATGGCAGGGATGGAGGTTATGCTTGGGCTCAGCAACATAAACTTCTACTCGCCAAGGCTGAGCTGGCTACAGCCACTGCTGAATGCCCAGTATGCCAGCAGGAGAGACCAACATGGAGTCCCCAGCATGGCACCTTTCTCTACGGTGATCAGCCTGAGACCTGGTAGCAGGTTGATTACACTGGAATGCTTCCACCATGGAAAGGGTAGCACTTTGTCCTTACTGGCATTCTGGATATGGATTTGCCTTTCCTGCATGTAATACTACTGCCAAAATTAGCATCTGTGGACTTACAGAATGCCTTCTACACCATCATTAGCATTCCACACACCATTGCTTTGACCAAAGAACATTTCATGGCCAAAGAAGTGAGACAGGAAACTCATGCTCATAAAATTCACTGGTTTTACCATGTTCCTCATTATGCCCAATCCAGGCAGGATGCCAAATGTCCCAGTAATAAAGGAATAAAGGAATGGGGCATCCCACTAGGTAAAGATTTAAGACCAGCTGAAGTACTTGCTACTGGTCAGGGGAACACAGAATAGGTAACAGAAGAAGGTTGTTATAAATACCAGCTACAATTGCATGACCCTCTATAGAAACAAGAGCTGTCATTTTTCTCTCCTATATTGTTAATACACTTGTGCATATGAACATCAGTTCATGCATATGTATGTGTGTTTATACACACACACATACATGTATCTTTGTGTTTTTTCTTTTTCTTTTTTGAAACAGGGTCTCACTAGGTAATTCATGCTGTTCTCAAATTTATAGTGATCCCCCTGCCTCAGCCTCCTGAGTGCTGGGATTACAGGCACATGCTACCACATCTGGCTACTTTCTTTCTTTGTAACATAATGTTGATAAACAATATTGGCTCCTAAGTATGGTTAGATCTGCATTATAATGTTTAAGTTATGATATTAGAAGAAAGCATTACCCAAAGAAAAACTGCTTTCTATTCTGGGAATTAAGGCATTTTGGATTTTATGCAGAATATTGGTATCATGTTCATATAATTATGAACATGCTATTGAACCAAGTATGGATTAAGGAAATGTGTCTGATTGTCAAGTTGACAAGGGGTGGATTGTGATAGTTAATTGTGATTTAAACAAGTGGATTAAGAAACATCTAGCGGATTAGAAGAGCACAGTTGTAGGTGTGTCTCTGGATGGCTGGCAGGTAGGTCACAAACTGCAGAGGGTAGACCCACCCTGGATGTGGATGGTACCAACCAGTAGCCCTGCAGCCTAGATGGAATAAAAGGGAAACAAGAAGAAAGTATTCTCTTTTGCTTCTTTGGAGGAGCTTTGGTATTTGGCCCTGCCTTTGAACATTTGTCTCCAGTTCCTTCAGGCTTCCAGTGCAGACTCCAGCCTTCCAACTCAGACCTTTTGGCTATCTGACATAGACTCAAATCAGACTTTCCGGGGAGCTCCAGGCCTTCATCCTTTGACTGGATCCCCCTGACTTTCCAGTGAGCAGAACAGCATTTTGTTTGCTCATACTTCTGATTCCATAGGCAGCCATTGTAAGTCTACTCGCCTACTTAGTAAATCCTTTGTATGTTATAGCATTATATCTATATATCTCTCCTTCACAATGAATGAGTTCTTCCAATAGTGAACCCTAACTGTTACAGGCTGCCTACAATGGAAACTAAATTTCAAGTTTCTCTTGAAGCTTAGAGGGACTATGTAACTAAGGTTTGGCCCAAAAGATGTGAGCAAAGAGATGGGAAATTGCTGAGCATGTTCCTTCTTCCCCTGCTTTGCTCTCTGGAACACAGATGTGGTTGGGGCCCTCTGGGTCCATTCAGATGAGCGCCTGGAGCAGCAGGAAGATAAAAGGAGTCTGGGTCCTGCTTTCAGACTACTTTCTGTAAGACGCAAAAATAAACTTCATTTGCTTAAGCTATTGTTACAATATCTCTATTATCTGTGTCCAAACCATACGGTAATTAAAAATAGCTCTTCCACCCATATTCATTTTGCAGGCATTTCTCATCATTCAGGGCTCAACTGCGATGCTGCCTTCAAAAAACCTGTCTTGACCAGTCTATCGGTCAGTTTTCTACCACCGCCTTAATTTCTGGACTGCACAAAGCAGCATATTAAATTGTTTTACTTAGTGCCTTGCTTTTGTTTTTGTTTTTTTGGTACCAGGGATTGAACTCAGAAGCCTGGGCTCGCAAGGCAGGCTGAACCACTGAGCTAAATCCCTGGCCCTTAGTGACTTGCTTTTTGTCTTTCTCCTAGAATTCAAGTTTCATGAATGGAGCTGCCTTACTTTTTGCGGGATCCCTAATGCCTAGAACAATACCTGGCATATAAGAGGTGAGTGGTAGATATTTGTTGAATGATTGACTACTTAAGACAGGCAAGTCAATAGACAAAACAGATAAGCCAGTTTTTATAAGCAGCACACATACATTGTTTGGAAATACAGAGATAAATTAGAAGAAATAATAACTAAGACATTCTTAAATGGCTATTCTAAGGGACCATATCTGAGGTGGAACAGGCACTACAGAATGCTTTTATACACCCTTTGATGCAATTGTTTTTAACTTATACATATATAACTTTGGAAAGTATGAATTTAAAAAATTAAATACTGTGCAATGACTAAAATGATATAGTAGAAGAATGTTTAATGATATGGTAGAAGAATGATGATATGCACCAGGAATTGTGGTGCACACCTGTAATCCCAGCACTTGGGAGGCTGAGGCAGGAGGATTACCATGAGGGCAAGGCCAACCTGAACTACATAGTGAGACCCTGTCTCAAAAAGCCTAAATAAATACTATGGAAAGATAGCCACAACACAAAGAGGAATTTATATAATGTTATGTAGAGCAAGATTTAATTTCTACACATATATGAAGCATGTACACACACACGTATATATGCTGTGTTGTTATAGTTCATACATATGCCCAATTCCATTTCTACTAATGTAACTAGCACTTCCTGATTAACAACATTGAGTAAACATTTGAAGACTTTATGTTTAAAGGAACAGAGTAGGGACTCATATCCCAGGGCCTTTCCTTTTGGCCATTTAATTAGGAGTTTTATCCTTATCCTAAGAACTGTGAGGAGCCATGGAAGTATGCTAATTAGAGATGGTATAATAAGATGGTATAATAAGGCAAATTTGCAGAAATGGTCAGAATCAGAAAAATAAATTAGGAAGCTATTAAGATAGTCAAGGCAAAAAAAAAAAAAAAAAAAAAAAAAAAATT